ACATTTTACAGAAAGTATTTATCGTTTTGTTTTTTTTTTTTTAAAGCAATAAAAACATAGATTTTGGGTTTATAAAGTTGTTATAAAAATCAATTTCTTTTGATATACATTAACAATAACTGTATAAAATCTTTACATATGTATTCAAATAACAAAATTCAAAAAATGATTGAATTGACTGAGAAGTAGAAAAACTGAAGAAGAAAAGTAAATGTACATTAATTCTATTTGTTAATATAAAATTTAAACGTAAAATAAAAGATTATAGCTTAAAATTTTGAAAAAGCAGCTTATCGTAATGAGAAAGACGATCAGTTTTTAGTTTCTTAATATATGCAAACAAGTAATACGATCATCACAGATATCAGCAACGAAGCTTTTACAGCCCCAACTCCATTACAGTTGTTATCCGTACAACAGCATACCTCAGTGCTGGAATTTTGATCAAATCGACATCCAGGACCAATAGGCTAAAATAAAAAAAAAGTGAGAGAATAAATCGCACTTAAGCGACAGTGAACAAACAGTTAAGCATTTCCAAGTCATCATCATTTTTTTTTTTTGTTTCATCAAATGATAGACTATGGAAGAACTACAAGCTTCCAGATTTTAGACTTTGGCCAAAAAAAAAGGGTCTTACGTAGCAGTGATTCTGAGTGTCGCAACTTTTATCAATTACTTCCCCGCCATCTGAAAAAAGCATTTTTATAAATCAAACAAATCACTCAAAGAAAAAACAGAAAAGATTTATGATCTCAATACTGTTGTTAACGATTACAAAAATACAAGAAACAAATAAATTGTTGTAATTTTAGCTTGTTTTTTTTTTTCTTCATTTCAAGTGGCAAAAAAAGAGAAGAGAAAAAAATACGATTACATTGATTTGGTGCTCGAGTTTTAAGACAATAGTTTATCCCGGGTGGACAATTAACCTTGTCAAAATCGCCTTGATTATTGTTACCGTACAGAACCAGTTGTCGACCAGTACGACATTTTAGCGCTAACGTTGCAGAAGTAAACAGAAGAACAGTAACAACAATACAACGAACAACAAACATTATGACGCTGTAAATTGCCTTCCTTCCTCTAGACTAACTAAATACGTTTTCTGAAAAAATCAACTATTTCATCTGCACAAATATTTTTAAAAAGCAGTTGTCTAGACCAAAAAACCAAGTTGAGCTCTGTTCCAGTTTGGTAGCTTTGTCTTTCCTGCTAAAATAGAACCACATTTACTACAACTAGAATTCTTTGGTTTTATTGACCTGAAAGTAAAATGAAAATACGGAACTGAAAGAGCTTCAACAGTTAATAATTAATTGTTAAATAGAAAAGAAAAAAATTAGATTTGATAGTTTTGTTGTCTTCTCTTTTTGAAAGCTGTACGATGCCAAATGCTCGATAAGCCTTGTTTGATAACAACAGAATCTATAACTTTTTCAAATTGTAATCGGCAATTGGTCATATAATAAGAAACATTTTTTCTTAAATTCTTAATTTAGTCACCCAATCAAAACTGAGTGTCAAAAACTTCTTCGCGAAATACTTAAACGACGTATTATAGGATAAACAAGCAAGATGATTTCCTATTTCTAATAATTTTTTTCAACTATCTTTAAAGAACAAACGACAACCAAAAAAAAAAAACAGAGGCAAAATTGTTAAAGAATAAGAAAAGTAGTTGCAAATAAGTGTTGTCAATGAATAACACAGAATCTAAGTTTT